ATTGTTTGAATACTTCGTTATTAATGATCATCTCTACATAGCTATTTCTATATATCATATGAGTTTTGCAGACATGGGATTAACAAGAAGTTTGACAAACTTATTGGTCCTTGCAATTGTCAAGGTATGGCGAAAGGAACATGATGGTCTTGTGAAGATGATGGTCTTATGAAGAAGATTGCCAACTGGTTAATGTAGATTAGTCAGCATTGGAATGTGTTGACATCTGGCTTGTAAATGATATTGTTTGTTTCTTTTGGATTAGTTGGCATTGAGATTTGAGATGTTGGATTGTATATGACATTTGGGTTGTAAATGATAATGTTTGTTCTCTGTTGGAGCACTTTTCATTTCAATTAAGAATCAAAGACATGTTTCGATGACTATTGTTTGTAACCGGACACTTCAAGTCGCGTTCACAGACAATTCCAATTAGCACATTTTTATGTTCCAGTGACTATTGCCTGTGGCCGGATATTTCGTGTCGGCTTCACAGACAATTCCACTTAGCACATTAGCCCAATTAAGAGGCTATTGTTTGTGGTCAGACACTTCATATTACGTTCACTGACACTTTCACTTAGTACATTAGGTCCGCTCATTAGAACATTTGCCCGTTCTAGTGGGTATTGCCTGTGGCCGGACATTTCATGTCTAGTTCACAGACAATTCCATTTAGCTCATTAGGTTATTAGTCCATTACAGTGGTTATTGTTTGTGACCAGACACTTAATATCAGGTTCACAGACATTTTTGTTAGTGCATTAGTCTGTTCCAGTGTGCATTGTCTGTAACCAGACATTTCATGTCTAGTTCACAGACAATTCCACTTAACATATTAACCCGTTAACCCATTCTAGTGGCCAGACACTACGTATCACGTTCATAGACATTTGTATGTAGCACATTTGCCCATTGTAGTGGTTGTTGTCTCTAACCAGACACTTCATGCCTGATTCACAGACAATTCCGTGTAGCACATTAGCCCACTCTAATAGCTATTTCTTGTTGCCAGACACATCATGTATGGTTCACAAACAATACCATTTAATTACAAATAACCCTTGGAAGTAGAATATGACCAAGTGCCAACCAACAAGATTAAAATTTAATTACAAAGTAAAAAACTAAAATCAAGAAGTGCATGTAATTACAACTAATAATTACACAAAGGTCAAAGTTTGATTACAGAAAGTAAAGTCATCTAGTCTAACTTTTTCTTTATTAGTTCATAGATCTGTGCGAAACTTAAAGTAATGCATGTTTTATCAACACACTTGTCTTGTGGATGATATATCCAAGCCTCCACATCACAACCACATAGTTCTTAATTCTCTCTGCAAAAGAAAAACCATCAGCCTAGTATAGCACCATAAAACTCACTTATGAAGTCCAGAAACTCACATATGAAGTTTATGCCCCTTCAAAGACAAGAGATTATCTAGGTAATTATAAAGAGGTTCTGAAGCAAGCAAAATTAGAAAAGCACTATAACAAAACACATATTATACAAACATTCACTCAATGACAATTATTAAGAAGCAGATAATCCTTTAAGTCCGGGTTAAATATACTAAATAGTAAAGTACAAAATAAAAACACAATATGAAACCAAGAAGCAGTATAAGTCTGGTTTTTGCATAATTCTTTTTATTGTGTATACTAAGATGTGAGTTAAGACTTGACAGATGCATACTTCCACTCTTGGTCTTAGATTGAGATAACCTGAATATGCTTTATAGGGTTATTATGAATTAAAAAAGCATTTTACTAGCTTATGTGAATACAAAGTGTTAAAAACGAGCACACATGAAAGTGTTAAAATACAAACACACAAGAGTATTATTAGTCTCAATTAATGCAATGTTAAGATATCAATAAAACATAAAATTTAAAAGAAAAAAAAATTAAAGTTAAAACCCTAAATTAGAATAATGAAAAGGGGAGAAATTATTGTCTAATGAGTCAGGAATCTAATTAGTTAGGCTTAAGGGGGTTAGATTGAAAGAAGAAATGAATACAATGGTGGCAATGGGTTGGAGGGAATTTACCAGGTTGGAAATCAATCCTCCATTTCAGACTCGCTCGCAGGTGGCCGGCACTGTAACTTCTAGGTCGCGGCAACATCCAGGCGGCGAAGGCTTCAAGGTCTGTGGCGCTACCTATTCAATCATGACCAACCATAGAGACAATTATATGGCTTGTGACTATTAAATGTGGAGAATTGCAATGAAAATGAAGAAGAAGAAAGAAACGAGAATGTAAGGCTATGGGAGAAAAGCTACGGGAAAGGTGCAGAGAAGAAATAGGAGAAGAAAAGAGGGGAGAGAGGAAGAGGGTAAAAAACAAAAATGAAATGGTAAAAATTATGAGGTATTTATATCATGTACAAGTTGTGTACAAACCATGTACCTCTAGCATTTTTGTTATTATTTTCGTCTTTAACACCAAAATATTTGATTTCTATGATATGACTAGAGGTTGGCATATGAGTTTTCCATTTGGTTTTTATCGGGTTTGATTTGATTCAAAATGAATTGGAATAATTAGTAGCAAACAAAAATCATACTATTTTGGAAAAATTGACAAGAATAATCCCACCTTTCATTGATCTTCTTATAATAATCTCACCTTTAAATAATCCCAAAATAATCTCACCTTTTCACCTCATCTTCTTTCATTGGACCCTGACCAAATTTTTACCTTTTTTAAAAATCTTATATAAATAATCTCACATTTATAAGGATATAATTAAAAAGTGAAAGGTGAGATTATTTGTATAATTTTCAAAGAAAGAGTAAAAAACATGGTCAGAGTCCAATGAAAGAAGATGAGGTGCAAAGGTGAGATTATTTTGGGATTATTTAAATGTGTGATTATTTTGAGCAGATCAGTGAAAGGTGGGATTATTCTGGGATTATTTAAAGGTGGGATTGTTTTGAGAAGATCAGTGAAAGGTGGGATTATTCTTGTCAATTTTTCCTACTATTTTTCGGTTTGATTCGATTTGATTGGATTTGATTTAGTTCAATTTTCTCAATTTCGATTCATTTTAATACAATTTGAAAGAAATACTAAGTCACATAAATCAATTTGATGTACATGTAAATGAGGAAGGCTAAAAATTACGGATGTACATGTAATATGTTTTTACTTGAATTGTAATATGTCCCAGACCAGACCAGATCAGATCAGACCATACCAGACTTGGCTAGTTATAAAAATACAAAGAAACCAAACCAGACCAGACCAGTTCAGAACAGACCAGATCATATCAGACCAGACCAGCAAATTACAGTCCAAGTAAAAACATCCTAAATGAGAATTAAATATGTAATGTCCAATCCAAATGTGCAATTTTACCATTGATACCGATTTTTTAAGTAATTTGCATCCAACAATGATTGTTATGTTTTTCTTCCCGAATATGAGTAATACGGTAGTGTTTATTGTCATATTGGAGCCATTATTGCCAAAATAATTGCACTACTAGACATTAACATGTCAGTAATGACTCCAATAATTATTAATGGAATTCAAATTTTATTTTACATTGTATAATTATTGTAACTTTAACATATACTCCCAAAAGGAATATCCACTTTCCTTTTATGGATTTCTAAAAAAGAAGTTCTCATTTTTCTAGAGCAAGAATCCACTTTTAACTCAAAAGTCGCAATTACCTTTCCTTTTTACCAACTTTTTGCTTGATTTCTTATATACTCCCTCTGTCCCTAAAAGAAGTTCCATTTCGCTTATCGAGGGTCAACTTAAATCACTCTTAAACTCTTACTTTTTATATCAAAATTTTATAAAAATTGAATTATTTTTTGCAGGCTTTGTAGCGGGTCTAATGTAGTTTCTGAATATGTAAATTTTATTTACTAAAAATAATCCGAGTTTTCACAGGGATCATTTAACTTTATCGTCAGTCAACCTTCGTAATCCGCAATTGGAACAACATTTAGGGACGGAGGGAGTATAAAGTAAGAGTATACTCGAAAAGTCAAAATAAAACTCTACCATATATAAGTATATGTGTGGATCAAACCAAGAACTTTATTTCGAGATGGAGAGAGTATTAAATAGGTAAAGCCGGGTTAAAGAGTGCATGCCTAGCCTACTCCATTTCCTCATCTAGAAGTTCTAATCGAATTGTTAATTTGGTCATGTAATGTGTACACGGTACACTTGAGAAGCATGCATTGCGTTGCTGTTGCTCTAGTTATTTTCAAATAATTGTTCCACTTCATAGTACATGATCATGTGTGCATAGCATTTTTTACAAACTTTGTAGCTTCTCTTTTTCTTCCCCATTTAACTAAATGACTTATTCCCAATGAATAATTATATTGGGTGAAGTCGCGAATTTGAATTTGAAGAAAATTGTGATTAGGTGTTATTATGTAAAAATGCATAGTCTCTGCAAATACTTAGATTAAAGCCTCACTCGCTATCTGTAAACTTGTGGTTAAGTTCAATTTACATATCCCTATTTAACTGTCTAGGCGGTGCTGGGCCGTTAGGAATGAGATGGTAATTCTTTTTATTAATCATGGGTAAAATTGATATGAGCCAAGATTTGCACCACCAATGATTAGATATGGTGCAGTGTAATTTTGTATTATTGTATGGTATATTAGTGGTTTCACTGTGTATTGTCATTATTGTTTCTTAAAGGGAAAAAAAAGCGAGCAGAGATGAAAGTTAGAAAAACTTCATTGAAGAGAAAAATATCAAATCCTCATTAAACAGTTATAGAAGTGAACAATTATAACTTAATACAGCCACCTTGTGGCTTATGGGTCCAAATAATTATCTGACTCTGTTTTAAATAAGTAATTAAAAGTGGAGCATAGTTCACCAATAAAAAAACAGGAAATACTTGAAAAGGAGAAGATATGAGGGGCCCCCACATGGGTCAATTGTTTCATTTTCCACAGCCTATGTTCCTTAGAAAATGGAGGAAATCATGGAAGCTTTCCACAGTATAATTAGTTCCCTACCATTCCCCCACCCCTCCCCTCTCTCACTTTTCATCTTTCTTTATCTCCCTCCAACATACTTGCTCCACCTCCCCCTCCACACATTCCTATTGTTTTATATTCTTGAAGCAGGCAGGCAGGCAAGGAGAAACTGACCAATTGGCTAACCAGAAAATTAAAGAAGAATAGGTAGAAAGATGGAGATAGAATTGGCAAAGTGTGAGTGCTGTGGGCTGAAGGAGGAGTGTACACAGGACTACATAAGTGAGGTGAAGGAAAACTTTGATGGGAAATGGCTGTGTGGGTTATGCTCTGAAGCAGTCAGAGATGAGGTCAACAACAGAGTGAAGAAGAATATGCCACTGTTTGGTTTGGAAGAAGCTTTGAAGGCTCACATGGCTTTCTGTGGCAAATACCATAGATCAAACCCTGCCATTTGTGTTGCTGATGGGATGAGGAAGATGCTTAGGAGAATATCTGCTGCTAATCTCTCTTCTTCTTCTACACCATCATCTCCATCATCTTCTTCTTCATCATCTTCTTCCAAGAAGCTTCTTTCAAGATCATCATCTACCACCACCTCTGCTTCTTCCTTCTCCTTTTACTAAAGGAGGAGATCAGAAAAGGGTATCCTTAACTTTGATGGAAATAAGGTAAAAACCAACTAATTGGGCTTAGTCAGAGTTTAGGAGGGAAGTTTAGAGGATTTGTATGAACAAACCTTTTCTGGGCTCATCCAGTATATATGTCCTATGATCATCTTTTTCTTGTACATAGTATGTTGATCTATGAAGGATGTAATATAATTTTGGTGTTCCTTATGTTATTATTCTTTTGCTTTTTGTCTTCTAACTTTTGCCTACACTATTTGATTTGATCTTAGAATTTCTTAAAGTATCTCCTATCCCAAAAAACACATATTTCTCCACTACCTATGAGTATTTTTCTACACTTTATTGTCTAGGTAGTCATGCTCATTAAACTGAGAACATGATAAAAATGAACCAATGATTGACTTTTATCTTTATCTTTAAAAGGTGCCCATTGTAACCATATATTTGAAATTATGGAAAAATTAAAGGTTAATGAGATTGAAATTGAATAATTAAATGGGGTTAGGATTACATTCTGTTGAATGAAAGAAAAAGTTACTTGTATTAACTGATCAAAAGTTTCCTTCAAAATAGTTAATTAAGTCAACTTCCCTAAGACCCTAACTATTCTGGAAGGAATAGAGGAAAATGGTGTATATATGCTCCAAATGTTCCTTGCTCTTATGACTCAATTTTCTTTATCATCTTTCGTTATTTAGGGCGGTTTGCAACAGCTTTAAAAAAAAACACTTCTCAGCTTTTGGCTTTAAAAATCACTTATTTACCAAACACTACCATTTTTTTACTTTTTTAGGCTTTCATGTCAAAAGTGTTTTCCCCCTTTTATATACTAAAAGCACTTATTTTACCAAACACTACCAACTTTTACTTTTCAAAATCACTTTTTTCTTAAACACTATCAAATTTTACAACTAATCACTTTTTCCAAATCACCCCAAAAGTGCTTTTATTTAAGCAGACGCTGTTGCAAACACTCCCTTAGTCGATCTAAAATAGTAAATACTTTCTTTTATAACAAAAAATAATATTATGTTACGGGGTTGTTTCGTTCTAAAATGATCTCAACCATTCATTTTTTTCTTCTTATATTTCTCATGTTGTAGCATTTGAAGACAATTGAAATAATACTTTATAGGGATTATTTTTAACTTCAACTGATTGAATTATATTGATTTTGTTTAAAAAAAGTTAAGGAATATCAAATAGACGGTTATCACCCATCTTTTTTGATAAGATTCATAATCCATATGCTGACAAGGTGACCTCTATGGGTAAATGACTTGCCTTGACAGTTTAGGCAAATTTAAAGGTCATATGACTCATCCCAGAACGTTTTGTCACTTTGGCTGTCAATTAGCTCATACTCCGTATGTTGTTATTTGAGAGACCCACAAAATTCAGTAAATGAGTATCTCATGGGTCTCAAACACCTCAATTGCCTCCAGACTTTGGTCTCAATTATTTAATGCATCTTTTTTCTATAACACTAAAAATATCTTATATGTTGACAGTTGACAAATGACAATCCATTATATTTGAAAATATTGTTCATCAATTATCCAAATAAAAACTTTTTGAGAAATAGGATAGAGATGTCATATCATTTCCTTTCATTCAGTAAACTGTGAAACCAACTTTTGCCCTATTGTTTTTTTTTCTTCACAACCAACCAACCAATCCTATACCAATCCTATAATCCAATCACATAGGGAAAAAAAGATGACACCTCATCAGTCATCCCTGAGGGCCCCCAACATCGACCGGACGGCACGATGGGAGGATGTAAATGGGACTATAATCACAATCTGACAGATAGAGAGTGGAGCTCCGTCTCCAATACTTGCAGAGGTCCTATGCATTTTTAGCATGGTAACCCCTCATCGCAATTGTCGGGATTCGAATCAGGGACCTAACCCTTGTGGCACTCCCTCGCTACCAGTTGAGCTACGCCCACCGGTTCCAATCACATAGTAGTCTACGAAGTATATGTGTGTGTGCTGACGTGAAAATCACTTTCAGGTGTGATCAACGAATGGTGTAAGGCACAGCATGTGCCTTACAGCACAGCCATAGATGAGGGCGTGCAAGAAGTGCTACCGCACAAGGCCTCTCGATTCAGAAAACCCAAAATTTTAAATATAGTCTACATAATATGCACAATCATTTTTTATTGGCTAAAGGGTCAAATAGGCCCTTGAACTAACTTAAAGTGTCCAATTAGCCCCTTATATACAAGGTTCATCCCGATCATCTCCAATTGGGGAGGTTCCCGATGGAATTTTTCGATAAAACTTTTTGAGAATCTTCTTCATTAAGTCTAGTTTACCCATACCAAATTTCAGCTAAAAATTCAACCGGGAAGACAGTCAAATGATTTTTTGAAGATAACTGCGAAGTTAAACAGCGCAGTACATTTCGGAAAATCATTTGACTGCCTTCCCGATTTAATTTTTAGCTGAAATTTGATATGGGTAAACTATACTTAATGAAGAAGATGCTAAAAAAAATCTATCAAAAAATTCCACCGGGAACATCCCCAATTGGCAATGGCCGGGAAGAACCTCCTATATAAGGGGCTAATTGGACACTTTAAGTTAGTTCAAGGACCTATTTGACCCTTTAGCCTTTTTTATTTGATTAAAGATTCCTATTTTAGTATTTTGTTTTTTAATACAAACATTAAATACTAATATTTATATGTAACTAAAATGCAATTGTTAATTATAAATGTACAACTTCTTTATTACATAAGGCCAGGATAAGGCCTAGTTATAGTAATTAGCACAAATTCCTCGTACAGTTTGGACGAGCTTTGTTTTAAGGGACAAAGGGGGTAGTTTTTCAGTAATATCATACTCTATATTTTTTAATTCATTATTTTAATTCATTTCTTTTCGTTTTTTTACAGATTTTGGTTGTTCAGGTTCGAAATATGATTATATCTCAATGTCACATTTGATTGTAGTCTTATTTGGGTTATTTCTTAAAGACTACTTTTTATATTATATTTATTTAATATAAAGTCTATTTTACGTGATTTGCACCGGATCTCCTAATCTATTGAGCCGGCCCTGGTGTAAGGAGATAACACTTTTAGTTCTTACGGTACACTTTTTATATTTCAAGAACAACATCATTTTTGGTAACAGAAAATGTTTGGTTTATTATTAAAATGTCACCTGCATTTTGGAGAACTGTGTATCATTTTTACATCATTGGCACTATAGAGGCCGTTTGACAACACTCTTTTTCGGCTAATGAGGCTTATCAGCCAACTTTTTCATCAAACACGAAATTTTTGCTTTCACTCGTTGAATTGTGTAATAAGCAGAAAAAGTAAGGTTAGAGTTACTTTTCTGGCTATACTGAATGAAGTTACTGTAGATGACCATTTTGGCTATTTTTACATATAATTTTTTCTTTATTTTATTGATAGAATATATTTTAAAATAATTTTTTCTTAAATCAGCAGAATCAGCCAATGCAGCCACTCCAGCCAGAACTTCATAAATTTCAGCAGAATCAATCAAATCAGCCGATTTTCGTGCTATCAAACGGGCTCATAATGTGCTTATATCTCAAACTTAATGTGGGGTTATTTATTTACATTTCTCTATATATAGAAGATTTCTTTTTCATTTCAATAAGGGGCATAGTCAAGGCATATATTGAATTGAGCTGAGACAAATATCTATTTTAATTTAAATTTTTATACGAATTTTTACATTGAAAATAACAAAACTTTTTAATCCGAGATGGGCTTAGACCTATTCTAGCGTGACCCTTACCACCGTCCATGATTTCAACCGATTCATGGTTTACTTTTCGAGCCAACCTTTATTAAATTTGACCTTTAACTTCAAATCATAATAAACACGGAGTATTATTTAAAATAAAATTACTCGTACCAATTTGTTTTAGTTTATATTTTTGAACTATATTATCCTATTGTGTCGTATAACCTTTATATAAAAAAAAATAAAGAAAATGAAAACTAATAATTCAATCTTTTAGCGGTTTTCTTACAATAGTCCTACATTTTTGTTATTCAGGAATAACTCAACATTTACACGTACCACATCTTCATTCACTGGTCCCTGCCCAGTTGATGACTTGTTATTTCAAGTTATTTTCTTATCTTTGTAAAATATTATATCATAAATCACACCTTATGGTCACATAATGTTTTGCAAAGATAATAAAAGATTGAAAGAAGATGGGGTGCAAAGATTGAATTATTCTTGAATAATGAAAAGGTGGACTATTGTAATTAAGAAGACCACAAAAATGTTGGATTATTAGTTTCCATTTTTCCAAAAAAATAGTAATGGCAAAAGAAAGCTTACCCCCTATACGACTATACACCTTAGTGATGAGACCCTCACCCCGATCCTCTCTTTACAAGGATATGAATGTGCACTGAGCTAGCTACTTCCACAAAAGAAAATGATAATGACAAAATATCGCATTGGATACGAGAAACAATGTTAGAATTAATTACCCTTACTTTTTTATCTGCTTTTTGTTTGTTTTGATAAAAAGAAAAAATAAGTTTATATAAGTTCATATCCTCATTTTACCCTAAGTTCCTAACTGGTATATATGCTTATTGAAGAAGTACAAAAAAGGTGGATTTCACAAAATACTGATTTTTAGTTGCCTATATTGTTCATATCGTATTCCAATCATATCATAACTCACTTCCTAACTCACTTCCTAGTTCGGTAGTTCCTATTGTATGAACCCATGTGGCCCATATAAACTCTTATATTTGTTGTATATTATCATTACAAGTAATATAAATGCATCTGAGTTTAATATATTCTAGTTGATTGCTTTCGCTTTTTATATTTCAATGAAATGGCATAACTTAACATTCTATTATACTTCGTACTTGGTACAAATTAAATGTAGTTAGATTTAGCATGTTTTAATATACATATATTTTCCGATATAATTTGATCGGGTATATGTAAATCTAGTTTGGTCTGATATGTTTAAATCTGATGTGATATGATTTGTTATATGTATGTTATATACTTGCATGTGTATTTTAACTGTCGAAGTCTGATATGGTCTAATCTGTTTAAGTTTGATTGATCTCATCTGAACAGATTTGAAATAAAAATCAATTCAATTAAAATCATCATTAGTTTGCATTTACTAAAATATTAATCCATACTAAGATTGAAACAAAAATACAACCAAATGATTGCGGTAAATTAACACCA